AAAATACGACATTTCAAAAGACAAGATGGCTGCCGGTCGGCCATCTTGATCCAATTGTGAAATAAATCATCATGGACATGTATCCTAACATGTATAATCTATGTACCAAGTTTGAATGAAAACTGACAAAACATGTCAGTTGACGCCCAAATTAGAGTGACGCCTATTCAAAAGATTATACGGTGTATTGTTTGTTTAGTGCATGCGTTGTGCAATATGATTGCAATATATGTACCCAATTTAAACCGCACCCAAAATTTTACTTTTGATTTCTAAATTGATACATTGTAATATAAACTGCAGTTTATATTAGGACTTTTACAGGCTGGTATGTAAGAAGGTAATCCATCAAACATTACGACATACTTGGCATGTTACTTGTCTTATAATTCTGTATCATAGTTTTCTAATAAGTGAACAGTACTTACTTTGGTTGTAAAAGAAGCTTCCAATGCAGATGGTGAATCAGAATAATTTCTAGTAGATGTAATGAGACATACACTCTTTAAAGAAAAACAAATAAGATAACATTATAAAAAGCACCACCATGGCAGCCATAGATATAGACAGGTGTTGGTTGGTCAGTCTTGACTAACCTCTGTAGCATTATGTCTAAGTGTCTCAAACATGTAAAAAGAAGCAACAGAAACACAGATGAAACAATGGTGTCTATTTTTGTTTATACTATTAGCGGTAAAAGTAGCCATGAAGGACTCACACGAGGACCCTTACTTAATTTGCATAAGTTTTATTTACTTATTGACTCTTACACAATCCCCGGAGGGAAAGAAAATGGTCACAAAGTACAAGGAGAAATATATATATATATAAAAAACAAAACAAAAACACAATATACTAAATACTAAATAACAAATACAATCACTAAATTACTAAATAATACAAAATCTCTAAAATACAATCTAATATAAAATTACAAAATTGACAGCAGGCACATACGAATACTGTAGTTCAGAAAATCTATCGGGTCACTTTTGCTTGTGTACATATAATCATCGCATAGCTGAATTTCTACAAATCAATTGGACTTAAACTACTAGTATAATGACTGTGACAATTAATCGCTTGTGTGAGTACATGCGGCGACGAATTATTGGATTGGCAGCAGCCGGTCGAAAAATGAAAGAGATCTCGGAACAGATAATTGTTGAGGAAAAAATAAAACAAAAAAAACGCAGCCAGTGATACATTTCGAAAAATAAAAATACTAAATAAACGCAATCAGAGGCGCTGACCACGTGCATTGGAAATAAATGTGTTGTGACACAGTCTCACCAGACTCCCAAAGCACTTATATTTAATACATTGACAAAAAACACCACAAGAAAAATGTAAATCAGGCTTGTAATTACTAGTAACTCAACTCAAACGCAATATTGATCACTGTAAAAGTGGATAAATTCGAACCGCCATCAAACTCAAAATTCAGACGGTCTCGTTGATTGTCAATCAAAAATAAACTTGATGTTTTGACAACATATTACAAACAAGAATGGAAAAAAAGTTAGCAGCAAAAAACGAGAAATGCATGTGGGAAAGCGATGAGCGAACTCAAGAAAAATTATGCCAATGTGAGAACACGTTATATACCCTGAGTAGTACTCGCTAAAACATTGAGAAAATGTGCCATTTCAAAGGGCACCCTTACAAATAATGTCTGCGATTGTGTGAACATGATAACGTGTAAACAATTGCAAGGAACAGAGCTTGTGGTCCACGGAGGAAACTTAGCAATGGCGCAGTTAGATGTATACGACTGTTGAAAACAGAGACTCCTTCGATATCATATGATCAGGTTCACGTGGATGTATCATTTTCAACTATTACCAACAACACTATGATAATAAAGACTTTCTGTTTTCGACATTGTGAAAATCTTTTGTTTTTATGTAGAAAAATACAGTATTTTTACCAAATAAAATCATATTTATTAAAGTTATTGTTCATACATGAGTTGTCGAACACACTACATGGTTTGTAATCTATCACTGGCAGAGTTTGTTTTGTCTCATCTCACAACTGAATGTCCTTTGAATGACTTTTAATGACGTAAAGCTAACATCGGTTTATAACTAAAACTTGTATACGAAGTTCACAAAAAAACATTCAGTCTTTAGAAGTCACTTTATTTTATTGCTAGGACGTATTCTGCTGTTAAATTTATTATATGTATTTCCAACCGTTTTGCTAGAGTATTTTCAAGATTGAAGGCAGCATTTACAGTTCTTTCATACATGTACAAAATGTAGCTCAAAGTTGCGTTGGGATTACGTTCATACAGTATGTAACAATATCAGTGCCAGTGATATCTTACCAGTGCACAAAGTAGCCAAAATAAAAAACATGATCATTTGAACACTGCTATTACAAAACTGGTAGGAGGTAATAAATTTGGGCCGAAAGTATTCAAACATCAGTTTTTGGCTGTTCCAATGGCAGTGGTGGGCCAGATTTTTTTTACAATCAGTGACAGTACCACCTACCTGTCAAGTATGAACAAAATCAGCCAAGCCAAAGAAATTACAGGAGTTAAAAGCCGTTACTGGTGAAAAGTTACCTTAACTTTGGGATCAATTTTCTCTGTAATGAAAATATACATAAACAAGCCATGCATGGCACAGTCCCCATTAGTTATCAAATTTAAGATATATAGTTATGTTTATAGTAATATAGTTGGAATATAACAATGTCAGGAATATGATTTTTTTAACACTAAAATGATTGACATTTGTATCTGATTGTCAAACAAGTACTTGTCCATATTGAGAGAAATTGCTCTGGAACAGCATTCAAAATGAGCCATTTTGAATACATGTATATATATATAACATGATGTATAACGAATATATATATTTATCACATCTCACTGCTGTTACGCATGCTATGATTGGTTGAGACTCAGTCACATGACATGGAATAAAAATGGACATTACATGGTATATTGCCCGCCAAGTGGATATTACATAGGTATATCACATGGATGATGTTACTGAAACTACTGCGCAACGATACTGCGCATAACAAATTGTCGTTCGCTGCACTGGTGTTGCTCTGGCCGCTGTTGCTTTCGGGGTTGCTTTCAGGGTTTTGAAGGAACTTTAGCCATCCAAAATAGACAGTGAACGTGCCAGAATGGATATTAAGTAAGATACTCTGTTTTGATGTATAGGGTATTTTTTATATGGAGCGAAAATGTACGGCAAAGCCGCCACTGAAACGTCGCAGCCGGGGTCTCTGCAACGCGTTCTACGCTGTGAGCATTTTTACGCGTTCCACGCGGATGCTAAGCGGAAACGCTCTAAAGCTGTGTGGCTTGTGAATAGGTGTGGTACGTTCGTGAGAAAGTAATTTCAGTCACTTCCATGGCACTCTGACATTTTTATCTGTATAGTGATCAAATAACTTGCGTTTGAGAATTTCTCAATTCATTTCAAAAATGTTATTCTCGATAATTTGAGTGATCCACACTGCTGAAACACGGTTCAAATAAAAAGACTATACATGGCTGAAAATAACATTTACTGAGTGTATTTCGTTGTTTTTTCAGCAGACAATGTATGTATGTTATTGAGTAATGTGAAACTTGTTATAATAGATAAAATAAAATATTGCATACTTCAATATAAGTGTT